GCAGGTGAACAAGTTCATCTAACAAAGTAGCCAGTGAGTAACTCAAAGGCACAGACATGCTCACTTTCATCTTAAGAATTTAATTCCATGCAGGCATATAAACAATTCAGCGTTTCTATCACTTATTAAAATCAAGCTTGAGTAACATTTTCTCAGCGTTTTTCTGACTGCCCATCTATAGAATTAAGGCACTAAGCACACTGCTTTCTCCCATCCATATTTCTTTAACCCGACTTTTATTTGTGCCACTGGACCTGCATTTCTCATTGACATGTTTTTCCAACTCTTCCACATGTCTCCATAAGCTCCATCCACAGCATGGTGTAATTAAGCCTCTAAAGTGGCGGATGGCTCCAGAATACAGGCACCTCTGCCAGAGAAATACAACACAAAAAAAATACTGAGCAGCAATTTGCAATAATCTCCCCAGACATCCTCTAAACCCAAACTATCAGTTTTGACATAATACAGGGATTTAATCTGAGTATAAATCTATAAATCTCATAATGCTGGCTGAGGTAATCTCCCTCTGGCATGCCTGCAGGGCTGCTGGGCTGAGATGCTTCAAGTAAAAAGTGCAGACCACTGGCTCCACTATCAGACAGTGCTCAGAGGTCACGGCAAAGTTGCCACGTGTTGAATAGTGGCACTATTCTAACCAAAGATCATGAATTACACGATCCTATCACAAAAGCGTCTTTTAGAAAACGTGCAACATATGCATTTAGTAAAAGTTTTTCTAAAAACTAAGAATCATATAAAATTCATACAATTGCAACATTTGGTTTTCATCTCGCATTACATTATAGCAAAAGTGACCTTTATCTTGACAAATATGCAGCTGTATTAGTCTTCAAAACCAGCTGCAACCTTTATGCAAGACATACTTTATGGTATATTTTGTCATAACTTTGCCTTTGATTGTCTCCGCTGTGACCGGAGCGCTACCTATCCCATATTTCTTCTTCTGGGGTGAATCCTGTATTTATTAAGTCCCAGAGGAGCAGCAGGTTTTGTTGTCCTTCATGCCCGAGCAGCAACCTGGCTGTGAGGCACACAGAGTTTAGTCAGCAAGTCTGTTGGGGCTGCTGGGGTCGGTAGAGACCTTAGGGACCTTGACCACAAAAACCATCGGCTCTTTGGCCTTGTTGCTGAATGCACGCCGAATTACATCCACGGCGTGCTGATGAGTCACTCCCTCCAGACTCTCTCCATCTACGGACAACAGCTCATACCCTGCCTGCAGATTCAAACACATGCACAAGGGTAAAAGAACATTGAAAAGCCACAGAAAAAGATTGAGTATCCTTTGTAAGCATGTTTTCCTCCATTTGTGTGTATCTCTTTTTTGTGTCTATTTTTTTTTTCAGAGCAACATTAAAGACAGTTTCCATAACACTGCAGAGATTGTGCCCCTCTGTGAAGAAATGTAATTTATGCCAAAGAGAGTTGGAGCTCTCCCACTTCTTTAATGCATTCACACTGAAAGCTGTCACTAGTGCACGTATAAAGTTTCCCCTTCAGCACAAGGTCTTTGGAAAAAGAATATACACTGAGACAGCCGCACAGTTAGGACTATGCTTGCTGTTTCCTGCAGGATGCGAGCAGAGAGTAGCAAATCTTTGCAGCCTCGAGGAGAGGAACTTCCTCTGATGTCATCAGCGTTTGCCAAGGATGCACCTGCCTAATGTGCTCAATCTCAGCGAAGGTTAGAAACACAGAAGCACACAAGGCCGACGGCCATTGTTGTACCTTCTTTTTTTTTCCTTTCCCTTTTCCTTTCGAGTCATTAGACACAAATAGATTATTTTCCCTTCATTCTCTACCACCCTGTTCCATCTGTTACAGCTCTAACCTATTTGGCCTGTATGGATGAGGTTAGATCCGGGCTGCTGATTTTTTATTCTTTTTTCCAGAGAGTCCGGTGTTCACCAACAACCCTATAGCCCTCCGTGCAAACAGTATCAAAAGATTTAGCTCCATTTAACCAAAGAGGAGATTAAAAAGTGCTTTTTCATTTTTGAAAAGTAATTTATCTGAATTAAATAGATCACAACCTAATCTGCCCCATCCTCTTTACAGCCATTTATACTGAGCATTTACGAGGTTCTCTATTTTCCAGCCAACAAATAACATGGCATGTAATAATAACTACAGCTTGCATGGGAGGATCTGAGGCCAAATAGCTCATGTACTGGGCTGAGAGAAGCATAGCTCAGAGTGTTGGTTATCATAAATGTAACACCACTCATGCTCTAATTGTAGTTCGGGACAGTGGTTCGTGGCTGCTCAAATTTTGAGATAACTTTCTCTAAAATACTAAAAAAAACATTTTCTTTTTGCCTTTTGTTTAGAGAATCACTGCATTAGGATTGCATGTAAACATGCCTGCTTCTGCTAAGCAGCACTAATCAGCAGGTCCAGCTGTTGGGAATGTCATTTTGCAGGTATTAACTCAGCTGTCACGCTGACGTGACTCGCTTACGTCCACGTTCCTGCCGGTGAAGGCAGATGGCAGCGTCTAATGAACAGGACAGCACGTGTCTCATGACTAATACACACACAATACAATATTCTTCACTGGTGTGATTATCATGTGGGTCTAAGGAAACAGGATGCGTGTTAACACTGAGCCCGCCTGATCTCACTTCCCTCTGCAGAATACAGGGAGATAACACTGAGCCGTGGAGCTGATATGAGCCAGCTGACATGCCTGGTTGTTAGGTGTGAGGAGGAGACCACAGATAGCACAGGAGTGCTAGTGAGTAGCCATATATCTGTGTCTAAGCCTCGTAGCCAACAACCTGTCTGTTTTTAGTCATGCTGATGAGATGGCTAAGAAAAGATCATAGTGTCATTAGGATGCAATGTTGCTTAAATCCCTTACTTTTGCCCAGACTGAAACGTCGCTTTAAATATTTGATGAATTACATTTGGTATATTCTTTTATTGAGTCCTAGAGCGAAAACCTTTAATGATTCCTTGTTTTTTTCTTCTATCAGTGCTTGGTTTTGAGTAAATTTTATGCAGAGCATTATGTTCCTCATTAGGATAACTGGTGATCCTCAAACATTTACCACCTCAGTGATCTGTAATGTGTCGAAAACCTTACTTGAGTACTAAAATCAAAACTATTATGTAACGTGTAACCCTGTGGCTAGATGCTATGTCCTGCTGGAAAAGGAAGTCTGCATAAAGTTTTTCAGCCGGTGGAACCGTGAAGAGCTCTAAAATGTTTTGGTAGATGGCGGTGTTGACTTTGGACTTTGATAAAAACACAGGGGACCAACCACTGCCAACATCAGCAGATGACACCTGGTGGCACCTCAGATCATCACAACCTGCAGAAACTTTACACTGGACTTGGATTCTGTATCCCTCCACTCTTCCTCCAGACTTGAAAGAGGACTTTGGACCACTGAGCAACAGTCCAGTTCTTTCCTACTTAGCTGAGCTAAGGCACTTCTCTTGTCTGTGGTTCAGAAGTGGTTTGATATTAGGAATACTACAGCTCTGGACGTAGTGAAAGATGGAAACAGCCTCAGTCAACGCCTTGTGAAGCTCTCCAAAGTTCTTGAAACAACTTTTCTTGACAATCCTCTCAAGGCTGCAGTCACCCCTGTCGCTTGTGCTCCTTTATCTACCAATCAACTTTCCATCAATATGCTTTGATACAGCTGCCTGTAAACCACCAGCCTTTTCAGCAATGACCTGTGGCTTACCCTCTTTGTGGAGGCTGTCCATGAGTTTCATGTGGACACAATGTACTAAACTAGCCTGAGAGATACACAGTTTTTCTATTATTTTTTTCTGTAAGCCATAACTGTCAAAAGTAAAACGGAGTTTAATTGCACAGTAAGTCCAGGATATCCTAAATGTTCATTTTTATTTAACTGATGGAAAATATTGAATTTTTTCCACAATATTCAAATGTCTTGAGATGCACCTACAGAGATGTGGAGTTTGTATGAATGTGAATGTAGGTATCTGTACACAGAGGGCCAGGGAAAGTTAGTTAGATATGGGATTGCCCACATGTTTGACACTGATCAGGAATAACACTCAGATAGCAGTTTTCAACTGATAACTTGCAGCTAGGAAACATACGAATTTGTCAGCAAACACGAGTACATAATGTCAGCCTCCTACTGCTGGAATAAGTATGTTTCAACTTTACACACAAACATTTCTTCCCAAGCATCTCTAATTCCACTGAGCTTTAACAATAAGTCTGTGATTAACTTTAGTGAATGAGCGCATGTGTAGCATATGTGTTTCAGTGAACCAGGCCAAGAAGACTGTTAAGTTACTTTACAGGCAATATATTACCAATACATTAGCAGACCAGCATCCATGTACCTCATTCATAATGAAAGTGATGGGCCACTTGAGATGGCTCTCATCTACTCTCCACTCCTCATTGCACACGTCTCTGTCATAGACACAATTACTTCATAGCAACAACTCATAACCTCAGGACTGAGGGCTGGCACATCTCTCTCACAATCTGCTACAGACAAGCGCTATATAAATCCAATCCATTATTATTATTATTATTATTATTATTATTATTATTATTATTATTATTATTATTATATATGTTCATGCTAGACGCTGACCTTCAAAGCCTGATTTGTAGATGCAGCTCCACCTGGAAAGATTTTCTCAACCTTTATCATGGGCTGGATTCTAGACTCTACACCTCCAGAGATACTAATACCTGTAAACACACAGAAAAAGAACAATAATAAACTGAGGGCATGTTTGGCAGTACCACATGTTTTGTAACTAGTCTTACACTGTATCGATTGGTCGTTTGGTCTTTTTTTGTGTGTGAACTCTTATAAATGCATTTTAGTTTAGCAGTTAGTGATGCCCTGACCTCTACTGGTCATGTAAGAGACAGCTTAGGATGAGTCACTAAGCAGTTTGTATTGTGCTTACAAGCGCATATACGGTCACAGATTAAAAACGATTTTAGAAGCTGGCATTAAAGCAAACCCTGAAATTTCACTTTAAAGTTAAATGAAAGTCACAACAAGTGCTGTTTTTTATTTACCCAGTGAGTGCTTGGCCTTGGAAATGGTCAAAGTGGCGATTTCACACTCCTTGGGTGGTAGAGTTTGTCTTCCTTTCACTTTTTGACCATTTTGTGAGTGTCCATTCACTTGCTGAGTACTCCCACTGGCCTTGGACGGGCTCTTCTCCCTCTGGGGATCAAATACCTCAGCCAGAGGGGTTCTGCCTCTCCGCTGTGAGGGAACGTGTACGCTGACCTCCGTGTAGCCCTCTTGCCTGCTCTGTCTGCCATATATACTGTCAGGACTGCCCTCTCTCCTCACTCTCCCATGGCCATTCCTCACAGGTGACCGCCCTCGTTCATAAGCCCCGTCCCCTCGGTCAGACACGGACAACAAGGAGACCTCATCATACCACGACGCCCCATTCTCTCTTCTGATTGGGGATCGATGGGGTTGGTGGCCACGTTTAGTGCTGTGTGGGGATTCTTTGAGGAGGAAGCTGTGAGTGGGCAAGGGGCTTGGGGAACGGGAGCGCACAGAGGATACATAGTTGTCCACAGGTACATCCAGCAGAGGGGTGAAGGCACGGGATGGCGAGAGATGGCCAGACCGTTGACCTGTCACACACAGTCTCTCCAACTCCTCGATCAACCGGCGCTCATGCAGTCTGTCATGGACCGGCTGCAGATAAAATCCACCCTTGTAGTCTGTACAAACATATAAACAGTGAGTGACTGAGTCAGTGCATATTATAAAGCTTATGATGGAGCAGAATCAGTGCTGTGAGTTTCATCCGTGCTTTCTACTTCCATGTTAAAACTTAGCTATGCTGGCAGAAGACAGAACAACAACAGCTCAGAGACGTTTTGACATCTGCTGTTTTCATAATACTGACCCTTTGACCCGGCCCTATGACCTCAGAGGCAGCTGCAATCAGTCTGAAGATGGGACTGATTGTGTCTCGCTTGCTTTTAAATGAAGTAAATGCTCAAAGCATCTTTGCATTGTTGAAGTGTCACACAGCACGTCTCTGTCTTTTCTGTATGCACCGAGATGTAAAACAACCCTCTTCAGCACGAGCACGGGAAACCTGATCTGTTCGGGGTGTGTGTGTGTCCTTTTTACATGAGGGTGGGGAATGTGTGCCAGGGACAGGATATGGTCTGCGTGTGAAGGTGTTTGGCTTTGACTATGAATATAAGATGAGGCAGGAATAAAGTGGCAGAAAACTAGAGTCAGACAGAGAGAGGTTTGAGCCTCTGTATAAGTTATAATCCTACAGGAGCCATCAAGCAGATAGAGAGAAAGGTTGAAGAAAGGACCGAGGCCTAGATAAGGAGAGTGCGAGAGCAAGAGATACAGCCCATGTACCTGGGATTGGGGTGATGAGGTGACGACGAGGAGTTCCACTACGAGGAGAACGCAGAGCTGGGGAACGTGCTAAAAAGAAAGATTTCATTTTTTTTAATCTCACTTGAAAAATTCTTTCCTGTTTTTTATTCTGTCACAGCTTAGAATTTAATCTTGTAAAACTGGATAAATAAACAACAACAACAACAACAACAAAATATCAGGGCAGTGATGTCAGGTGCATCCTATGCTTACATGAACGACTCTTGAGAATATCGTACGCTTCCAGCTCAAAAGGCATGACCATGCTGTCAAAGCGACCCAACTCAGTCATTGGTATCAGCATTCTGCAGTGGATATAAAGCGGACATGTAGTTCATACAGCATGTAAACACATAAAGCAGTATTATGCCTTGTGTATCTCACCTTATTTCCCTGAGAAGCAGCAGTTTCTCTGGCCTGTCCAAGATTGCCAGAAGAGGACGCACCAAGTCCTCGATCACAGAGTCGGACAGAAACTGTAGGAAGGATTTGATTGGTGCACAAATTAAAGTAGGCAAACAAAAAGAACCAGCTGGACATGTACACTGAGGATCTGACTGAGCTCAAAAAATATTTATACCCAGACAACTGACTTTAAGTAAATTTGAGTACATGTATAACATGCTTGTAATTTTGTTACATAAGTGCACTAAAAAACATTAATTTAATGGAAATTGAAGAACAGAAATGTACTTGATTAGTGTACATTCAGTTTACATAAAGCATATTTTGCTTAATCGACAATTATTTGAATCAATAAACATTTGATTTTAAATATTTCAGTATGATTTTGCTCAAAATTATTGCTTCATCTTTATGAGAGCGAAGAATCATTTTTTGAGTGTGTGATTATAAAATGAGTTTTATAATGTCATCTCTGCGAGAAGTTTTTACACCTCTGGATACATCTCAGCTTGTCCAAGAAAAGTTTGCTTCACACACCGAGGCTCCAGTATCTCAAGATACACATTTACAGCACGAGACAAATTTGTGATAAAACATATTATAGATTAGAGATAATGGGAAGTATAGTTTTTAGAGCTCTGCACTTGCTGTGACTAAAAGCTCAGCGTGCAGAAAAACTTTACGTGATGAACTGAGCACATGTTTATACCTCTGCAGCAAGTCCTAACTTTCTTGTCTTCGACCTCCCTTTTGTTTTGTCCCGTCTCTCTAAGCTCTCTTGTCAATACCCTCTGAGGTCAGACAACGAGCTAGCCAAGGAGCTGAATATTTTAGGATTAAGGTGGACTGAGAATGAATCAAATGACAGCTTATGTTCGATCCCGATCATAAAGACAGGCCAAATCCATCTTTTGTCACAGCTGTTACACAACACATCTGTGACTAAAGAACACTCGATGACTCACTGCACTCTCACAGCAGCGTGCCTCTGAGGTGTGAGAGATGGTAATTTCAGTTTAGAAACTCACTCGCCGACAGTGTCTCATCACAGCAGCCACCTCATCCTGACTGAGCAGTTTCTTTGCCATGTCCTCCACGTGCTGCAGGACCTCGAGTCGGGGCAGTGGGCTGCCAGCTCGGGATTCCCTCGGGGAGGTCAAGAGGTGGAATGGGCGCCGCCGTTCCTTATCTAAAGAATAATGTAGATAAAAGAAATGATGTGCAAAGAAGAAACTGTCCTGATGGCATTTAAAACTCTTCCAGTTAGATGTTTGACTTCTCAACATCTATAAATAAATTGTGCAGGTTTTTTTTACCATCAGGAGAACTTACACTAACTTTAAATTAAGATATTAAATTAAGAAATCAAGCTTATCAAGGCATCTTAACTTATGCTCTTCACCATTACATTTTTGCTTCTAACACATCTGAATAGTATTTCTGTTTGTAACTAAGTTTTCTACAACACATCAGCCGAGACCCTATTTTTATGCAATTAACTGGATATTGTCATCATGAATGTTACACTCTTACAGGACTTTACAACATTAGAGATGAATAAAACCCTAAACATAATGGAACACCTCTATAAATCAGGGAAAGCAATGCAAATTTACAAAATCTTACTTATTACTGCAAACTTGTCATCTCACGAGGCTGTTTTAACATTTGAATTCTGTATTATAGCTCTGTCATGGTAGAGCACTGGGTTTTTGTCTTCGGGTCATTTTCTCTCTCTCTCTCTCTGTTGTAGGATTGGTTGGGCAGGTCGGAGCGTGGGGTCCTGCTGTTCAGAAAACACACTTGTAGTTCACTGACCTTATCAGGAGCTGGTATTAAAAGGGAAGCTCCATACTGAGTCTCTATCACAGCACAGCACACCACTGTGTGCCATCTCAGATTGGTAAACAGGCCTCATTCTTGGTTACTCCAGCTATTCTTGTTCTCTCCTCTATGTCTTCATGATTTTGCTGCCCTGCTGAAGAAAAGACCCACCCGAGCTTTCTCACCTGCCACCTTCAAACCAGCGCTACCCACAATGACTTCTTTTAAAGAGGCTTTCCATCTCACCTCACTTGCATTCTCAACCTCCTTCGACCCTGAGAACAACCCAGTGCCCCTCTATCCAAGCTCACTAGTCTTAGCTTCAAGTAAGAAACTCACACACTCCTAAAGACTTTATCTACAACTGGACTGTTGGGAAACCTCCCCTCACATTCTGCTGGATATAATGTCCTCACTTATCTCCTTCAGAGAACGCTATGCCCTGATTATAATTAAAAGTGTGGCCTTAAAATGAGACACTGTGTATTATAATTAGTCAATTTAACGACCTCTGAGTCATGTTCCACAATTTGTTCAAAACCTGAAGCAACATTTCACTTTGCAGGCTGCACTATGTGAAAGAAAAACCCACACCCTGTGACCGCTCTCTCACCTTTGTTTGCACGGCGAGACGGCGACTTGGAGCGACTCCTCTCTTTGCGGTCTTTCTTAAATAAGAGGTTGACAAAGGTTTTGGAGCGTTTCAGACTAGTTTTACCCTCTTCTGAGCTTTTCTCCCTGTGTTGCCTTTTCTTCTTCTGTCTCTCCTCTAAAGGTGGGGGGGAAAAACAGACAAATATCTCTTTTTAAATTAACACACATACTGTACTTTGTGCACTAAACAAACTATAGACTACATGTCATCTTTTTTGCAGTTATGTCTTGTACACAGGAAAATTGACTGAGCCACAGCAGGAGTAGGACATTCTGCATATCTGTGTTGGGTGCTGAAAACATAATTCATTAGGCCTTGTTGTGCTCAATGCTTAACTGTAAGCTGGTAACAGTGGCTGACACGCACTCTCCTTTATAAGCACAGACTTTTCATTTCTCTTCCAGTCAGCTTCTCTTTTCACTGCAGTAAATCTGACACTGTGGAAAGCAACAGTGTATCACTGATGAATTGCAGCCTCACCAACCTGAACACACCCCCATCTATTAGAAGCACAACAGAGAAGTGCTCCCGCTTACAATAACAAATGTCCAATCAGACCTAAGCTTTGCCCGAGCCCCCACCAGGTTCTGAAGCTACGAGTGAGCTGGAGAAATTGAAAAGGAAAGGCTAATAACTCAACAGCCCCACCAAGGCTTGGATAGATATTTCTCCATATGCTTGCTCTTATTCATTTCTCACAGAGGTACAACAAGTGAGAGTAAAGGGCAGTGATTAATCTGTGGCAACCTTGTGCTCATAGACAAATTCTGTATGGAGCTTAAATCAGCCGTGGAGAGTCTGAATGTTCTTGTTTACTTTCTGGAGTGATGGAGGGTTAAGGCGTTGTCTAACTGATGCGTGTCCTATAGGAAGAGCCCAGAAGCAGTGAACTGTCACAAACATCAGCTCAATATCTGATAACAGTGCCGCAATTCTGGAAAGACTGATTTCTTAGCTGGGGTTAACCCTCGTTAACCCTCTGTGTATTTATGTCCACGTCTCCCTCAGTTCAGTGTCACATTGTCAATGTCTCTTCCCTGAACTTGTGTGCCTTTCTCTGTGTTCCCTCTGTGCTCAGTTTAGTTTTCCCAGTTTAGTTCTGTTTCTTTGTGAAGCCTGCAATAAAGCAGAGGTTTTGAGTTCAGCTTTTGTCTCTGTGAGTTTTGCGTTTGGGTCCTCATCTGCCTTGTATCAATGGTCAGGCTGGTGGAGCTGTAGTGCTATAAGGGAGATATTTTCTTGGCACTCTTTGCATGCATTAGTATCGACTGGGCATCGTTTAAATGCCACAACTTACCCGAGTATTGTTACTGACCACCTCCACTCCTCTATAACCATCTCCTGATGGCTGGATAATCAACTATGTCAGAAACTTTTATTGATCTTTGAGTATATCTAGTATATATCTATGAGTAATGTGTCCAGCACCTTGAAACTATGCCATGATGAATTAAAGCAGTTCTGAAGGCATCAAGAGGGCCCAACCCGATACTAGCAAGATGTACCTAATACAGTCCATAATTAAAACCAATGACGTAAAACATCACTTGTCTGCTTAAATTTTCGTCACATGAATAAACTGTGCATGTTGTATGCTCACTACCAAAATACTGAGAGCTTTATTTTTTATGCCACCATCTCGGTTTAACCACTGCTGCTAAAGTTAATAAATTAAAAAGTATTGTGTTTGTGTTGTTTTCTCAGAAAACACTGCCTTAATTGTAAACACCTAGACTGTGACTAAAATATGTCCTAAATAGGCTGGAAAAAACTTGTCAGCTAATAATAATGTACATAGAGAACTACCTTGCATCCATAGTTCCCCACATTTAACAACCCCAAAGAGCCTGCAGACCTCACCTGACTCTGTGATGTGACTCTGGGAACGACTGATTGGCTTCCGCGGTCTGCTCAGGGCCATCAGAGCTGCTGTCTTTGGTGAGTGTTTCTCAACTTCCTGCTTCCCTGATGACAGCGTTTTCACCCGTCCCTGTCCACCTTCTCCAGCTCCTCCCATCTCCCTTGGCCCTTCTCCTTTCCCACGTATGACCGTGTCCTTCAACACTAATGTGGCACCAACAGTCCGGCTTGTTTCTGTCGTGGAGAGCCTTTCGGGGTGTGACCCATTAGGTAACAGGTGGTCCTGGTAGTTTGGAGGTTGGGGTTCAGTCTGTATGGCGGAGTCAGCAGTTCGATCAGTACTGCTCGGACGTCGGGAGTGGTCCTCAGTGCAGATGCCAATGTCTACCATCTCTGAGCCAAAGACAGGAGAGAAGAGGACCTGGGAGAGACCACTGAGGGAACTGAGAGGGGTGGTGGAGGACAATGACGAGGCAGAAGAGTTGGAGTCTGAACCCTGTGATGATGGTGGAGGGCCTCCATTGGCTACTATAGAACACAATCCAAAGAATATAAGGGATTAGTGTGTGTAACAGCTGCTATATGTTACAGCAACATAAATACTGTATACATGCTAGACTGTACTGTGGATAAAGTTTTCCCATAAAAGCTTAATTTGCTTCCTTCTTATTTCTGCCTTCTTTGAATGAAAACCTGTCTGTTCTCATATCCCCATAATCCTGTGAGCTTTTGATAGACAGAAAAAAAAGCAGGACTTCTTTTTTTCTTTTTTCCTAATGAAACTCCAAAGTGACTCTGCATCTTGGCATCTCGACAGATGTCAAGTCATGCTCCATTCCAGATGACTGAGCTGCCTTTGAGTACACTGAATTAATCCCTAGCTGTGTTGAGATGGGCTCGTATCAAAGCAAAAAACAAGGAACTGGAGTGCTATTAAGAAACTGAATGACAGCTTTCTTGTTCAAGAAGGCTACACAAGGCCACTATCCCACTTATTTTTAAATGTTTCCAAGGAGACTCCACCATGTAGCTTTGAAAACCAGATAAAATCTTCATTGATTTTGTTTAGTCAAGGCAGTACTTCTCACGCCACCGTTCATTATCTCTTGTAAAACTTGTGTTAAACATTGTCCAGGGACTGTAAAAACAGTCAACATACACTTTTCCAGCCAGCCGTATTCTGCCACCATCTCCTTGTATGCGGGGTATCTGCCAGCTTCCTGTTGAAGATCAAAAAAACAAAATGTTCATCGAGAACAGCAAACAGTCAGCATGATTACTATGAAGTAGACTCTCTAGACTTTATTGACTGTTAGTGAGGTTTTTCAACATTTAAAAATGAGCCAGCATTTGTTCATTTGGATTTTTTCCTGTAGTTTTTTGTTACTTGTGAGCCACATTCACACTCTGCAAAAAAGAGTTTACAGCAACATGTTGATAATAGCAGTGTTTACATGAGGATCGTCAGCAAGTTCAGTTCGATTCAGTTTTATTTAGACAGCACCAAGTCATGACAACAGTTATATTGCTTTTATTTATTATGTTTGTATTTAAAGCTTGGTATATTACACAGTAT